ACTCACGTAGGGTGTCGCTTTTCAGGTGTTGCCATCGTCCCTGCTGTCCCTAGTAACCTTGGTGTCCCTGGTGACCTTGGTGACCCTGGTGATCCTGGAGTCTATGGTGACCCTGGTGTCTCTGCGATTCCGCAGGCCCACGAAGAGATCCTCAGCTTGGCCGGTGAGTCGGAGCCACAGGCCCACGGGGAAGTATGGGAGTCGGCGGTTAAGAGCCAACCAGAAGAAAGCCAAGATTTTTGCATCCTGCCGTATCCTGCCGCCGTGGAGCCAGCTCGGGCCCAACTTGAGGCCGCCGAGTGGTGGACGCGTGCACTGGGTGCGGCAGCACATCAAGGCTTTCTCGATGACTGGATGCAAACCTTTGATCGCAGACAGCTCAAGCAGCGATCTTGCTTGTGGGAGCATTCGTGTCCACCCCTTGCTTACTTGAATGGCTGGGGTTTAACTGACAGCATTCTGCCTTTGCTTACTTTGCAGGCTCACACTCTAAACCCTCACCTTGTCATGGTTCTGTCCACGCAGGAAGGGCTGTGGGCATGGCGGCCATGGGACACATGGGAAGCGTCTTGACTCCCAAGCGTCTCGTCAAATGCTTGTCTCCAAGACGCCGCCTGCCAACAAAGCTGGACAGGGTTGAGGGCTGAGGGTTGAGGGTTTAGGGTTTCGGGTCCAGGGTTGAGGGGTTGACGGGTTTTGCTTTGCAGGAGGGTTGGCCTAGCATAGCATTTGGGAAGCTCGAACTCATTCCGACTCAGATTAGCAGAGAGCATCTGGTTTGATTGCCGGCCTGCCCCTTCGATGAGGCATCTTCCGTGTGTCTTCGCCATGCACCACCTGGCATTCGCAGATTTCTGGTGCACTCAGGGGCCCTGGAAGCTGGCAAAGATTGTGTACTTGTCAATTAGACTCCGAAATCCACGAGCTTGTAGGCAACCGCAGAGCCTGGACATTATTTCGGGTGCTCGGGGTCAGCGCAACAAAAGGAACCTTGTACAAGCGCCGCTAGAGCCAGAGTTTCAGAGGCCCGGCTGCAACAACACAAGGAGCAAGTCTTGAGCTTTGGAACGAGTCTTGCGCATGACAGATCGCCGAAGCATGTCCTTAATCATGAGAATCTCTTTTTTGGGTGGCGACTCCGCGGATTTTGCCCTCAATCCTGCCTGCAATTGTGCCGTGCGCAACGCCGGCGATGACACTATGAGAGTCTCTTACTTTGGAGACGTGTCCCTCTGTCTTGTTTTGCTTCCCATGCAGAAGAAAGCTTGCGCAAACAGCCGGCGAGGCTGTTTCCCGGCGTTTCCCCGTTTAGGCTTTGACTGCTAGACCCGTTTACACGGCATGTTTGGGACTTCGCTGAAGCAAGACACGGGTCGCTAATGAGAAGCCGTCTTGGGAGTAGCTTTCCTCGGCTACTGCTACTATAGTCCCACAAATACATCGCGCTCACTCGCGAGAGCAGCATTTGCCATATGAATGGGTTCACTACGGCTCAATCCACTGAGTCTTCAATCCTTGGATAAGATGTGCCAGGTTTACATGACGGTCATCTCCACCACTCTATTCTCCGAGAGATTTGTGAGAGAACCCTAAACCCTAAACCCTAAACCCTAAACCCTAAACCCTAAACCCCAATGCGTGAGTTGGCAGACGGCCTGAGCTTCTGAATTAGCGCAAGAAGGCATCTTTACCTCAGCATTCACCTCGGCCAGCAGCACAGCGTCGTGCCTGCCACCTCATGGAAAGCGTATTTAGGGTTTAAGGGGTTTGGGGTTTAGGGGTTTAGGGGTTTAGGGTTTAGGGGTTTGGGGTTTAGGGTTTCGTTTTAGAGGCTTAGTGCTCAGAAGTTGCTCGAAAAGCTAGGGGGTCCTTCTTTCAGGATCGCATCTAGGATTCATTCGAGAAAAGCAGAGCAGAAGGGGCAGCTCAGCTCAATAGAAACAATGGCATCATATGCGGGGGTTACGAAAACATGGGACCCCTAAAATAGACCCCCCCAAATAGTAGGGTTCCCTTATGATAAGGGCCCCAATAAGGTACCCCAAATATCGGAAACCATCAGGTTTCAGGTTCAATGAGCTGAGGGAACCAAACGAACTTGTAACGGGAATCCACGCCTCGCACGATGAGGGCGGTCAGATGATCCCCTGCCATGCTGGAGTCGAAGCGTCGTGACCTTGACAGCGTGTAGCATGAGGCTCTCTTTTGTGCAGTAGTTGCAGGATTGAGAAGGTTGAGCAATCTACTCGTGGCATGAGGGTTTATGGGTGGGTATGCGCTTCGGGTAGTCTTGAAATTGCGTTAATTGCTGGCCTGCACTATCCATACCTCTATACCGAATGTCGTCGTCACAACGAAGGAAGAAGACATCCAGCGCACATCGAATCTACTACTCCCAAACTCAGTAGAATTCTGTAGCTGTCCTTGTGCAGCATTCCCCCCCATTCCTGACTGAGCATGACTACATTCAGCTCCACTGTGCATCCAGCAGTTGCTTGGGCGGCGTTTCTCCGAAACACTTTGCATCGTCATGGCACCAAGCAAGGCCCACCGAACACCTCTGGGAGATGTTTGAACGAAGCAGCATCTTGTGCTGCCTGGTGCTTCACCATTTTTGGAGGTGGTGCTCAACCCTCAGCCCTAAACCCTAAATCCTAAACCCTAGGCAGCAGGATGTGTCGTGATCCTACTTTCATTGCTTGACGAGCATCCAATACCCTCATGGTACTTGTTGAGTTCGCAGGGTCAAACTGACGAGCTTGTCTTGCTCGTTAAACCCTGAACCCTAAACCCTAAAGCCTGAACCCTAAAGCCTAAAGCCAAAAGCCTAAACCCTGTCATGAAACAGCAGCAGCAAGAATGACAAGGGCTGACCGCCATGAAGCTGAACAGAACATTGATGGTAGTGGTACTACTGGCCATACTGGCCTTGAAAAGATCCAGTCGGTATGCACGGCTTCTGACAGACAAGAAATACTCCTTAAGTTTCTGGAGCACCTAGAGAACAAGACCACTTGCCTCTCATTCCTTACACTCTCTGTGTGTAGGGGTAAGAGGGTAGTTTCCTAAATTAGGGTCCCTGTTTGGGTTCCCAAAAAGGGACCCTAATTTAGAGAACTACCCTAAGAGGAGACTCCAAGACCGGTTGTGCGCTGGCCATGCTGCAGCAAGCCTGCCTTAATCAAACCCTGGGTCACAGTGAGTAGCAGGATGCTTTGCCTAACAGATTGTTGTGATGTTTCAAGACGCCAAAGGGTAACTGATTGCTCAAGGTGTCCCTTCCTCAACTTCTGCTCCCTGAGAATTCGTTTTGTATGAGGTTTGGAGGGCTTGAGGATCAGAGTTGGGAATGCTGCAAGGATGTGATTGAACAAGCCTGCTACGTGCTCTCATCATACATCAAACACGGTGCTGTGATGACATTTTGATGTGCTGCCCATTCTGCTTCCAGCAAGGAGCGCAAAACTCACAAGCCTGGCACTAACCGTAACCAAACAGTTTCTCTCAAACGCGTGACTTCTTGCTCGCCCGCCCGCAATGCCCGGGGTGACATTTGTCATCCCTGCAGCTTCCTCGACGCCAGGGTGAAACGTAAAACATAATACTGGCACGAGGTTTACGAAAAATAGGGACCCCGAATATAAACCCCCCCAAATAGTAGGATCCCCTTATAATAAGGACCCCCCCAATTTATCGTAAAGCCCCCCCCAAATGATTGCTTGAGGCCTGGAAGCCCGGGACCGAAACCTGCAGAAGGACATTGCCCTCTCGAGCCCCTGCATCATTTTGGGTTAGTGGGGTTTAGTGGGGTTTAGGGTTTAGGGTTTTGGGTGCGCCTATTGGGCTTCTAGGAATTGTCTGCCCGGGTGGCTTTTTTTTTTGACTCTGCGGAGCACTCATGTTGATTCCTCGCGCGCTCTCCTTTTTTGGGTGTGCGCAGGGACAGGAGTGCCGGTAAAACACGAGGCTGCAGAATCAGGGTTCATGTTCCCATGGCTGACCACGTGGGTCTCGTAACAGCACAGCAGAATGTGTTTGGATTGCCCCTGTGAGCCTGAACTTACACAGGCAGGCTTTTCAGAGAACTCTTTCTTAAGCTGTTGACCAGGTGCTGAAAGCCGTGGGAGGCACATGAACAACAGCTGCGGCAATCATGCGCTGCAGCTGATTCTGAACAGATCAAGGCTTGGGCTTCAGTGGCATGTCTGCTCTTAGGGTTTAGGGTTTAGGGTTTAGGGTTTAGGGCTGAAGAAACTAAACCAACACCCCCTTTCCCCCCGAAGCCCGACTCGAACTTGGAGGCTGCAGAATTCCGCAGAGTTCCCCTAAGCATGGACCCTTTGCACAACTCTAGAGCTCTTAGGTTTATTAGGGTTTCCTTCTCGTCTGCGTCCAGCTTGTCGACCAGGATGCTGCTGTGCTGATACACAATTGTGCACCACGATTTTTGCTGGCTACCTCAGTGTTCTTCTGTCGTGGTTGTGGCGTCTTCAAGAGCATGCTAGCGTATGCCCTTCGCCACAGGCTTCCGTGTGCCTGGGCATGCTATGAAACATGGGCAACCTGCTTGGGGGGTCAAAAAAAGAACAGGGTAGGGGGGTTAAAAAAAACAAGGGGCCCGTGAAATGTTGTAGCACTATAGCACACGATGACAAATGATACCTATACTCCCCTTAGAACATAAAAAATGCATTTTTACTATCCTCTTGGGTTTTATATAAAAACTAAACAACACATCCCCCAGGAGGATATAGATAACATAGATACTGCAGCCTCCTGAAGTGGGGCCTCGGCTTCTTTCAGAACCGGAGCTCGGCTCTCGACTCTCGGAAGCCCGCGAGGCAGGGGCGCGATAGGCCCTCACCCATAAAAAGGGCCCTAAACCAAAGGGGGGGGTCGGAATAATTTCGAAGAGTATTCCCCATATGGTCCCTTTTTGGAAATATACTTCTAAAACCCCCCAAAAAGTCTATTTTAGTTATACTCAGGCCCCCTTTGTGTTAGATTTTGTCGAGGAAGTCCTTGTAAGAGCATTCCATCTCCTTGATCTTCATGGAACCGTGCGGCGCGTAGCCCTGCCTCAGTGCTTCACCATCTCTTGCTTCGTTGCTGAGTTCATAGGCCCCCAAAAGAAGTGTACAGTTTCAGTTCTAGAAAAGATTATAGTGTCCCCAGAAGTGTAAAGTGAACTCATTCAGCTACTAAGCTTTTCGTGGTTCTTCTTTCTACGAAGGGCTCACGGCTGGAACAGAAGCCGAAAGCGACCCATCTACCTGTAGAAGGCGGTTCCTAGACAAAAGCTTCAACATGGCGACGACATTTTCGCAAGGGATCAGTTTGTCATGTTTAAAACTGATTCTGAAACCAAGCCTTCCGTGCCATCGATGAACTCCGTTGGAGTTTCTTGGGCTGGGCGCTGCGGTTGTTTGCCACTTAGCAAGCCTTCAGTTCACCTCATGAGCCCCCCAAAACCCAAACCCTAAACCCAAAACCCTAGCCAGGAAGTCAGTGTGCTTTATGTGCTAAAGCTGCCTTTTTGGCCCCTCATTGCTTCCGACATCCTGTCTAGCACAAGTGGAAGCAACGTCCAGCCTCCCGTCCATGTTTGCTGACGACAAAAACTTCATCAAGGGTTCGTATAGCACTGAAGATTACTGGTACTTCTGGTATTGCAGACCAATCGTCTTCAGTTTGAAAGCCGCAGACCTAGCAGAGTGGATTCATTTTGACTGCGGAAGGGGAGACCTACGCGGCCACTCCTACATTCCAGCATGCTACCTTGGGATGTTCCCCCTTATACTAGTAACAGTCCTTGATACGGATAAAAAAGGGGTACGACAATTCCGAATTCCAATTAAGGACGTTTAGTAGACTATAGAAGGGGGAACATTCTAGCATGCTACCGTAAAATGGCGAAGGGCAGGCTGAACCGTTTGCCCTGGCCGGCGTAAGCGTTGATGTAGACCTGCCAAGGGCCTGGCTTCAGGGCATCGTTTTGTGGGCCTTTTTGGCTCAACTTGTTTAGGATGCTCCCGTTTATACGAACAGTCCTTGATAGTGATTATAATCGGAGGTACCATAATCCCTATTCAGTACTGTTCGTATAAGGCTAAGGGGGTACATCCCAACTCATGCTCATGACAAAGATTCTTAAGCCTACTGCATACGATTAAGTACGCTCTTCACACGTAAAAAAGCCTCCGAGTTTATGTTGAGGTTTAGGGCTCGAGGCTTGCAAACACGACCATGTGAAGTTGCGGGCTTTTGGGCGACACGTTCTTTGGGCTTAAGGGTCTTGGGGTGGTGTTTACGGAAGCAAAATACAAATTCGACCACTTGACATTGTTCAGATGCTGCTGCTGCCGAAACGCGAGCTGCAACGAGCTTGTCATACTGCGATCACCAAACAACAGTGATGTAACGTTTGGGGTGTAGGTAGGGATCAGGGTGCACCAAGGGGCCGTGCAATAGTGTTGTGTTCTTGATGTATGAGACTTGCGAGGATGCACGGCTGCTTGGACCGAAGGCTTGAAAAACATCTGATACCATTACACTAGACTGTGCTGTTGCTCAGTATTGTGGACTGCCACGGACTTGCCACTCATGCCAGGACCCGCACACGCACACGCACACACACACACACACACACACACACACACACACACACACACACACACACACACACACACACACACACACACACACACACACACACACACACACACACACACACACACACACACACACACACACACACACACACACACACACACACACACAACACACACACACACACCCACACACACACACACACACACACACACACACACACACACACACACACACACCACACACACACACACACACACACACACACACACACACACACACACACACACACACACACACACACACACACACACACACACACACACACACACACACACACACACACACACACACACACACACACACACACACACACACACCACACACACACACACACACACCACACACACACACACACACACACACACACACCACACACACACACACACACACACACACACACACACACACACACACACACACACCACACACACACACACACACACACACACACACACACACACACACACACACACACACACACACACACACACACACACACACACACACACACACACACACACACACACACACACACACACACACACACACACACACACACACACACACACACACACACACACACACACACACACACACACACACACACACACACACACACACACACACACACACACACACACACACACACACACACGCGCGCGCGCGCGCGCGCGCGCAGAGACTTTGCTCGTCCGAACAAACAAGAACACTCTGAAGCCCGAAGAATGCCAGCAGTCCCGAATGGCCCGCCTTTGGTCGGCGTCAAGAATACCCAAGTGCTCAAGTTGTTGATCTGGCGATGGCCAGTATGCTTTTTGCCATCGGCATCGAAGATCATCCTCAAGGGTGCCAAAGGTGCTCAGGAGAACCGCTAATTCAAAAACGCCGCGTAGCCCTTTCTACACAAGGAACCATTTACGGCGTCCTCAAGGAAATTCAGATGATAGTATTTAGGCTTTTCTGTGCTCAGCAGTCTCAGCGGGCCCTCTCTTCTGCGGAACTGTTGACTTCCATTCTGGGCTTGAAGGGTCGGACACACAGAACTACAGGTAAGTGCAACTTCGCCTTGATCTTGGCATATTTATGTGATGCGACCATGAACACTCTGTTCGATGTAGGCGGATCTTTAGGCGGATCTTTGACTGCAATTGTATTATCCATGCTACAGAGTCATACAGCAACCAGCACCTGGTTACATCTCCCTCCAATATCCTGTGAAGAAGAATGGTTCAGGCCCGGTGCACCCCCCTCGAGGTCGCTGGGCCAAGTTTTTCATGAGTCTGTGTCGTGTGAAAAGCCACAATTTCCCTCCCATCCAACCCTGAAGGCCCTGAAGCCTACCCAGAGCCGACCCAAAACCCACAATACCCAAGATTCTTTAAAGCATGTAACTCATGTAACCATAAGTTATGTTAAGCCACAATCTGTGTTCAATCTTTCGCTCAAGGCAGGTGAGATAAATCCTCCTGAGACCCGAGGTTCGGCAACCCTGGCATCTGAGAGCGCGGCCAGGTACCATCGGATTGCCTCCAGATCTTTTCATTCTTCCCATCCTCTTCGCCTTGCTTTGGGACTAGACGTCTGGTAACTGTTGGGGGGGTTTGAGTGTTTTTGTGCTTTTGACAGGTTTGGCTCCGTCCATGCCGCCTGGAGCCATGAGTATGGTGCGTGGTGTGCTTTGAGCTTTTTCCTGCACACGTGGGACTCTAAACTGAAAAAGAAAACCTGTTGGCCCGAAACCCAAAACCCAAAACCCTAAACCCTAAACCCAAAACCCAAATCAGAACGCCCCCTGCAGGCTCTGGCCCTGAGCATGGCTCTGCTTGGGCAGATCCACCGCTCCGACAGCGCTTCGAGAAGCGCAGAGCACCGGCTCATTGCAAGCCATTGCACCAGTTTTTGGAGTTTCGAAGAAGAGTGATATGGAGACCTTGCCATGGCGGTTTGGTTCGTGGCTCGTCTTCGGAATTGCCCGAGCCTTTTGCCTTTTCGCATGCCCGCGGGAGGCACCGGAGAGGTGATTGCTGGTTATGGCGCGGGACGATGGACTCGCGAGCAGTGGCAGTCGCCGTCACCGACTGGCGTTTGTGCAACTTGACCTCTCGGACAAGTGTGCAGGCCCGTGTGCATTTCTTCCGCACACGTCTGCTCTAGCCATTTGTAATGATGGTAATGACTCGCATGGTTCCATTGCAAAGGAGAGCGGCCCAAACGAACATCATGCGCTTCAACCTATCGTGCGCATCTTAGGAAACAGAGAGGGCGGCAACAAGGGGGCATCGGCCTTAGGGGTTCGGGGGCTGGTTAGATCCAAACCCTGAAGCCTTCGAAAGCCAGAGTCACCCGACCCTACAGACCTATAGTCCTCCTCCACTCCCCCTCAGATCCTATCGAGGCTTGGCCAGGCGCTCTGGTGAAATTCGCGGCGACGCTTTTGGTCTTCTCTCATCCTTATCGACTCATGTCAGACTTGAAGACTCAGGCCAACTTTTGGTTCAGGGTTTAGGGTTTGGGGTTTAGGGTTCGGGCTATAGAAGTCCTTATCGACATAGGAGACTTCATGGCGCCCGAGCGTTAAAGGGTAGCCTGATGGTAATCTCATGAGCAAGGCCTTTGTTGGGGGAGTGATCTTGTGCCCTGTCACTTGAGAATCTTTGGGACTGTCGATGTAACAAGACCTGAGATACAAAGGACTTAGATTAAGGCGTACTCTAAGCCTTCGTCTGCTGAAATCTGGGCACAAAGGCATTGACTCACAATACAAATAGCATTCCCTTAGGGTCCCTTTATAAGTATACTATAATGACCCTCCAAAATTCTATTCTAAGATAACTCGTTGTAACCTTGGCTTCTGGGCCTTGCTTGGAAGCCTCAACAATACGGCGCGCACGGTGATGGTGGAACTCCTTCTCTCGCTCAAAAGGCACGTGGAGAAGCAACTTATTGCTGCCGTTGTGCTTCTTCGGCGCTGCCCGACTAAGGGAGTTCCCGAATTTCCCACGCTGTTTACTCTGCTGCTTCTGTTTGTTGTGTATAGGCTGTGGGCACCCTGCGGCCAAATTTCAAGTTATAAACACAGGGCAGCACCGCACATATGCCCTGAGAAAGAAAACGAAGCCTCTGCTGCGTGCTGTACACTAGATCAGTCTTCACGATTTCGCATTGTGGCAGATTTTTGCTTTGGTCCGGGCGTCCACTCTGATGGGTCATTCTGTCTCGCATCTAAGATACTCTACGTCTCCGAGCTGTGCCCCCCCGAGAAGGGACTCGGGCCGAGCACTCCAGCCAAGCACTTAAGGGACTTAAGGGCTGTCACCACATAGGTCTCCTTCTATGACGCGCTCCGGTGACAACTTGTGACCGATGCTACAATCGCCGGTACGGTGGGCCACACCAGCCTCCGAGAGAACGGTGCGACTGTTTTTGTACTACAAACGAGCTATATTCTAGCATGCCTGACGGACACAAAGCTCTAGGCTTCAGGCGTAGCTTAAAGTTAGTTGTCAACAAGCTTTACTATGCAGCTTCAGCGTCAAGCAGAGAATGAGGGGTGCATCCTCGGCGATGTCTTCCACCGAGAACTCAAACCTGTCTTGGAGGAGGCGACGAAGCCCCACCATGTTTAGGGCTTTCGGGGTCTAAAGAAGAGGACAGGATCTTGAGGTGAACCAGTCGGAGTCTGATTTGTTTCCAATCCTTCGCCTGCAACAGCCCAACTCTGCATAGCATCCAAGCACATGCCTCCACCTTCTATAGTGCCAACACCCTATCCGTCCCCATCCGCGCGTTTGCTTTGACGCGAGATTCTTTTTGATGTAGGAAAAGTCGGCTCAAGTGGTCGCTCTGACATTCACGTCCACGTGGAAGGGACCAAATATGGAAGCGATGAGAAGAGCCCAAGTCACGGATCCATTTTTCGATTTGGTCCGTAAGCCAAAGTTCCCGGACGGTCAGGCAATGCAGCATGGCTCACCCAGCGAACTCTTTTTCGAGTCTGCGAACCCTTCCACTTCCGGGCGTCCTGGCATATACCGTCCACAATGCTATGTTCTGTCGGGTGCCTCTCAGGCCGCTGATGCAGGCCCCATCAAACCCCGCAATAGTAACCACGCTAAAGCCATATGAGAAGAGCGGTTTCCTTAGCACGTCAAAAAAATAAGCCGAACTTTGTGCGGACGCAGAGCCGCACAGGAGAGAAAATCCTCACGTGTGTGTCAAGGCGAACCTTCACCTTTTTGGGGGCCACTTATTAAGGGGATTCTATTCTATTTTGGGGATAAAAGGGGGGTACCTCGATTTTGGGAGATACACATATGAGTCACACAATCAGCTGAGTGAATCTTCGTCCTGCAGACCGAAAACTAAAGCTCTAAGGAAAGGGGTTGAGTCACGCCTGAAGATGCTGTCGCACTTGACGTCGATGTCCTTGCTTCGCACACGTCCATACTTCCCCGACTTCACGTGGGTGCCCATGGAGAAGTATCCTGGCGTGCTGCAGAGGTAGCGGGTTTGCGTTTGAGTTTGAAGAACCGAAATCGATCATCCAAGACGTTTTTAGTCATGCGCTGATCTCGGATTGTCGTCAAAGCACCTGAGGAAACACTGACGGCAAATCGTTGTGAGACTGAATTGACCGAGCTATGTAGACACACCAATTTGACCTAAGCACGAAGGCCCGTTCTGCTGAATCTTGTGCTTGGCGCCTCACATTTGCCTTTGCAGTGTCTGTGGGGCGCTCTAGCTGAGATGCCCCAGACTCGACCTAGACCGTCGCGAGCCCGGTAGCTGAGAATCCGAGATGCGCGGCGAGGCGATCGCGAAGCGATGGTGTGTGTAAGCGACAGTTGAAAGTGATGTGTTGAAAGTCATGTGCTTTAGAGGCGCAGTAGACCTCTAAGTAAGAAGGGTATGAGCAACCAGCAGCCTGACAACGACCAACAAAGCGCTGGCATAAACCTTTGGCAAACCCAACGTCGGTTGAGTAGCCCTTTTCAGAACAACACAAGCCTCAAACACGGCCCTCTAAACATCCCGAGGAAAGGTAGCGAACACAAAGTTATGTCACACTTTCGTTTCTCTGTGCCATCGCTCCAATAAGTTCCCCTAAAATTCTAAACCCTAAACCCTGAACCCTGAACCCTAAACCCTAAACTCTAAGCCCTAAATAAGTCGTCGTAAGCCTCTGATCTCCACCCCTTCGATCTTGTCGCCCTTGGAGAAGCTCAAGTCCACCTGGGTTTGGCGACGTTTAGGGTTTAGGGTTTAGGGTTTGGGGTTTAGGGTTTGGGCTTTAGGGTTTGGGGTTTAGGGTGTGTGGTTTAGGGTTTGGGGTTTTGGGATTGGACTCTCAAAGTCGCACAAGGCCGGCAAGGCATCGGTTGGTTCTTGGTCTGAGGTGTTTAGGGTTTAGGGTATCTATTGCTCTTAAGTATACAGGCGGTATATGGTATGCCACGAATGCTTTCAATTCCGGACGCGGAGTTGTGTATCAAGAAGGTCGGCTGATGGTTTTTCCTCACGCGACAAGGACATAATTTGATATAGTGTCGTAGTTACAGACTCGCGACTCCTGTACGATTGCATAGGTGTAGTTACATACCTCTGGGTTAGACTCAGCTGCATGAAACATATCAAAGTCTGTTTCTCGGAGATGGTTTGCTTTCTAGCGGTCCTAAAGTCCCAAAGTCTGAGCCCTATGCCACTTCGAAAGTTCAGTGATTCGGAGCAGGGTCTCAGTGCATTTTGCCATGCTGCACGGAGGATCTGAAAGACTGCACCCTTAAACTATGGTATTCGGGGCCGGTGGGCCCACAGCCTGTCAACCCAACCCCCAAGAATGCGCAAAGCCTCCCAGCCCTGTAACACATGCAATGAAGTGTAGAGCAATTTTTCTGTATGCAACAGAAAACGGTATGGTTTACCAAACCCTAAACCCCTAAACCCCTAAACCCCTAAACCCCTAAACCCTAAACCCTAAGCCCTAAACCCCCTAAACCCTAACCCACGGTATGGTTTACTAAACCCTAAACACCTAAACCCCTAAACCCTAAACCCTAAACCCTAAACCCCTAAACCCCTATACCCTAAACCCTTCGGGTCAAGGAAGTCCAAACTTGCCACCTCTGAGCCGCCAAAGTGGGGTGTGCATTGGCCGTTTTCTGCTCTTAATTATCGCTACACTACACACGCACATCCTTTGCCTCCAGGATCTCGACAAAGCTGCCTTTAGGGGTTTGGGGTTACCCTAAACCCTAAACCTTAGGGTTCAGGGTTTAGGGTCTACCTCCCTCTTTTCACCCAGCGGCGTCGAAGTGTGCTTGCTTGTCTTTCTTCGCCCGCGCTTCAATCGGCGCATCGCTGAAGCGGCGATAGCATCGCACGGTCCTGGGCAACGGAGCTGACCCCATCGGACTGAGGGCTCTGCTAATTCACTTTTTCAAAGCCAAAAGGCTCGTAGTTCAAGGATGCGGCCTGTTTTGGGTTTTTTTTGGCCAGTCTAGGATAGTTAGTATCGGGCCTGACGCCCAGAGAAGTCCCGTTCGCCCGCGGCGGCAAAAGCAAGAATTCGAGTTCACAACCGGAGACTCTCAACTTCAGCTGCGAAGACGCGCTCGACTTCTCACCGTTTGAGGATTTCGATTGGCTAGTCCTCAAGCGTCTAAGGGATGAGTGAGCAACACACGGATCACAAGCAAAGTCAGAACATGCTCAGTTCGAATGATAACAATAATGGCACCGACGGTTGGGGGCCTACCCGGTGCATGTCTGATCCTGAGCAATCGCAAAGCTAAATCGACATGTCAGTCCCTATAGATGGGGATATACTCTCCTGGCCTGGACGCCTCAATAATGCATCGCAAAAGACCGGATAACCCCACATGAGTATCT